AATAGTAAGCTTGTAGCTTCTACTCCGGAATGCCACAGCGACTCTCTCCCTGCGGCTTGGGGATCGGCCTTTACGCAGCCACTTCTTGCGCGGACACAATAGCTGACCATCGGAGTCGGGGAAGGTCTGGCTGTCAGTCTCACCTGCATGCGGACCCACAAAGACGTAGGTGAGCGAAAGGTACGGCTGCTCAAAGTCAAGTCAGCGAACAACAAGATTCAAGTTCAACAGGACTCAAGTGTTAAGGTCGCCGCAGGTAGACGCTGTTAGAGGGGTTTGATGTGAAGTGGCTCTAGCGGTGTTGTATTGTCACACTCACGCGATGACGTTTATTGTCAGACTTCATAGTAAGCGAATAGCGAATCAGTAACCAAGCGAATAAAAGAGTTGTATGACGGAAGGTCTAAAGTTACTGAGCAGAACCACCAACCCTACATTTGGGAGTGATGCTCCCCCAAAACATTCTGTGAATGGACATAGGATTATATTCAACACCTGAAAGCTGCGGTAGCTTGTTCACACAAAATTATCATGAGACAATCGCGTCAATAAATTATGAACACTGTTCCCAGATAGCTCAGCTAAATCCGCAATAACGACAGATCTTGTTCTATCAAATTCTGTCAGAGAGTTAGGACTGCTGGAATTACAGGAATCTAAAGGCTCAATATGAACTACCAAATAGAGAAATGACAAATCATGAGATGATTACTCACAAGTATTATTTGACAAGCATAAATTCTGCTTCACCTTTTTCTACGAGGCAACTCATGATCCTTCTTTCGTATACTATCCAAAAAATACCATCGGACCAAGGAAAATCTGCGACGATATCCGTACTAATAGATGGTGAGCTCTGTAGAGAATAAATCCATTGTGATCGAACTATGAATTTTGACCTTTAACGGTGGCAATTGATCAGCAACAACTATTCGACCCCCGCCACATGAAGTCTCACAAAAGTTGGGAAAATGAAAGGATCAGCAAAAGACAGCGAATACGGAATCTAAAGAAAAACGTTATTGAAATAAGTAAACCTTTCTGGTGGCTCGAAATCGTAATCAGAACGATTGATATGCCCCCGCCACAAGCGGTCTTGCCATACACAAAAGCTAAGAGAATAGAATCGAGCCGACGCACCAATTGGAAGAATTGAAATGATTGTCACACTTCTTCCGATTGGTTGTGCTGCGGTTTCTATTAAAAATCTAATCGACAGGTATTGTCTGGAGCAGAGATTATTGATAGAAACCCTAATTTGACTCAATGAATAAAAAGAACCAAGCGGCTCTTCCCTATGTGGATTTTACCTCAGAAGAAAAGGCATTAGCTAGATATCTGAAACAATGCTGTTGTCCTTAAGTTCACCTAAAGGGTTCCAACCATTGAGGCAACCATCGACCCCTCATTCTATCCTGCGAGTTGCCCAAACTTATCGTTGTGCGAGAGTACGCTTCAAACTTTTTTTCGAAACAATTAATTGGTAAGAACAGAGTGACCGTGCACTCCAGTAATAACGGCGCAAAATATTCCTTCTGTCATGATATATAAAATGACGATCCAGCAATGAAGATGGGCACAAAAAATCGATTCGTAGCCTCTTTTGGATGCTATATTCATCAGCGGAGCTTATTCACACGACGATCAGCCCTGCCGACCCGTCAACTGTACGACGTCGCCGTCAGCTGACTGCCGGCATGTTCGCCTGTTAGTGTTCTCATTGAGCTACCAGGGAACGGTGGGTGGCTGAACACCGACGTCCGCGATTGTTAGCGAGGGACGTCGGACATTCAGCCACACCCAGTGAGAAGTTGATCGCCATCCGCTGAAAGTGTGATGGCAGCCAATTTGGGTTCACCTCCCTGCCAATTTTTGAAATGGCTCTACAGAGCCAAAAACACTGATACGTTGTCTTACCTAATTCAAGCGAAATCTACGAGCCGACACTCATCAGAAAGAAGGGGTAGTCGATAAATATAGATCCTTATTTTACCTATATTTAATTAATTTTGGTAAGGTATACGGTAAATGCCGTATAGAGTAGTCTAGTGCGAGGTCAAAGTTTGCATGAGGGACTGTTAGGGAAGGAAGGTTGGCATTTTAATTCCAGTTCCTTTATTTATGCATGTCCTCGAACTGAATATATTGATATGCAACCTATACAGGCTCACGCCTTTGGGTAATGGCGGCATTCCTCATCTCGTTCGCATCATTGTTGGCCGGCGCATGGGTACTCTTCTGCAACCATGTTCTTCTTACTGGGGATCATCCCGTGCCGCCTCGAGCAACTCTTTTCCTAAGCAATTTCATAATTTTTGCCTCATCTTGCGTGTACAAATTCGGTCGTACCGAGGAAATGTAGGGGAAATGTGATGATCTGTGAGTTTCGACCGTTATTTATTTTAGAATTTCACTTATCCACGTTTATGGAGACGGCGCATGTAATAATTTCTACTTATTTGTGTCTAATCATGTTCATCAATCTGAATTTACCTGATCCACGGGTATGCTTGAAGAAATTTCTTAGAAAACTGTCTTAGTCAAGAAGTCATTCACGCTAAGCCATGGTCCACAGGGATCTTATAACGTGGCGTAATAAAATAAAATTCATAAAACCGATAGCGCGGGCTCCTTGACAGTGTCATCTGGGTATCAACAATTCTGGATTCCTCGATTAACGAGATCCTCGGGAGTATTGTACCTGCCATGTAGTTGCTGTGAAGAACTGCCATTTCTAAACTTGGGGGCTCTATCGAAAGTATTTTTTATTGTTTTTGGGCATTCATTCGATTAGTGGGGCAACATGCAGTAATCAAAGTAAAGTAGTAAAGCCCTTCGAGGGCCGAGGGGCGTAATGTCAAGGGGCACGCCGACACATTTATAGCAACAGAGTGCCCATCATCCGATGTATATGAATTAGTTTTAGACTCACCTGCTAGCATTGAGCATTGTCTGGACTCGTTGTCACCGGTTACGCCCTAAGCGCGTTCAAATGCCGCTACGATTTTGAAGATCGTAGACCTTTTCCCGCTACGGAGGTACATTGGTTTTTGGCAGTTCGAGGCAGTTTTGAATGGATTAGATTTCCAGTAGTGCGGTTTTTGCTGCAGTAGTCGGCTGACGGGTTAATTCGGTTGCAGGAGCTTGTAAAAATATGCTACACTTTCACCATTCCATCGACACAGGAGAGCTTTACGAAGACTTGGCTTGACATCGAGAACACCACTTCCTTCGTGGCTTCTACGTCAACTTCGAAACCAAGCCCGACATTTTTTCAGTTGGGCAAGGTCACACTGTTTCCAGTAACAACCAGTATGTGTTCCATTCGATGTTATGTCGGACTGAAACAACCATCTTACTTCAAATTCGATAAAAACTAGAACGGATGAACATGGATGGAGGATTGGCTCTCTTGACTGAATTTTTGCAAAAAATGCTCATAATTATCAACAACAAGCGTAACACTTCCCTTCCCCAATGTGCTGGCACCGAATATCAAGCACGCATTACGAATGTACTGCTTTTAGTTTCCCTTCTGCATTAACATGTTTATTCAGTTCACAATCGACTTCACTATTTTAGAGACTGTCTACATCGACAAGCCCGGCGTACACACCCTCTTCGATTCCACAGTCGTTGATTCCTCGAATTATGCGGAAGAATCCTATAAAATGTCCATCAGTTGTACAAGGAGCGCAGATAACTTGGAAATCGATCAAGGTAGGGTGCGCCATTTAGTTCTCTGCTTACGATACCTAGTATGAACAGCTAATTAGCATTGCCCTCAGCAGCGCAATTCTGAGCGTTTTCTTTAGAATAGGTTCCAAGAAAAGTCTTGCTGCACTATGGAAAAGTTTTCGTACTTCATATTTTTATTTATTAAACCTAGACTTCAATCGTTAATGGACCGATAGACTTCGGAAATCACCATAGTAATCTAGAACACGTGCCTCTCTTTCAGGCAATTCCTCTATCTATGCCTTTCGGAATTCCGACGGCTGCAATGAGAAGAGTTTGTCGATTTCATTTCCAAGCTGACGACGATCATCGAATTTTTCGCCCCTTGAATGGTTTTTCAATGATACAGGTAGGTGGAAATCAGAAGGAGACAAATCTGATGAGTGAGGCGGATGTGGTAAAACTTTCCATCTGAATTGCATAATTTTTAGTGTGTTTTCTTCGCAAAATGTGGGCGTACAATTAATGTGGACTGTGGCCATCACTACAGTGCCAATGTCGGACGTCTCTTAACAGATCATTCCTCCGCACTCTAACCAGCACCGTGAAACCTTGCTTTCATGAAGGCCTGCTTTTGACTCCGTAGGAACATCGAGACACCGTCGAATAAGGAACACCTTCCTTCTCCAATGCAGCGTGTTGATAACCAGAGCGGCTTTAGCCGAGCATCCCTGCAGAAACTGATAATAGACAAGAGGTCGAATGACAGCCTGTTCTATCATGTAATTTGATACCCACCAATCTTTATACAGCCCTTTCTGTCTACTTTCGGAATCCTTGGGAGCCATTCTATGGCAATCGATCGTAAAACATTCAAAAAAGGTATCAGTCTTTTCAAAAAGATCGTGTACAAAGTGCTGCAGGACTCATCTCCCAATCTTATGTATGTGATGCACAATAGAGTAGGAGCAGTCTAATACAATACAAGTTTATAAATGTATTTGACTGTGAGGACATACCTTTTTCTCCCCAGTCTGTGTTTAGCGAGTTAGCAATAAGCCAGTAATCTGTGCCATTTTCATTTCCCCATCCGATCATTTTTACCGCATGGTAACCTCGTAAATTGCCAGCGGTATACTGTAAGCAGGCGATTGCGGATATTCAGTACTATAGAATAATATGATTTCCAAAGGCGTATTTTTGATGTGCAATACTTGCTGATAAAACTCGATATTTGCCGGTAAAACTCGAATAGGCATAGGGATCTGGTTGGCCCCACATGAACACTTGTTAGAGTCTTACCTTGTAGATTCCTGATTTGTAGTAGTCGAAATCTGCATACAAGGCATACGTAGCGACTACAGAGCCATGCCTTAAGATATCCCTCTGGATGGCTGTAACAGATTGCGGGAGTCTGTAAGCTGTTTTGCCTAAAAATTAGAACTAATCAGAAGAATGCCGAGGGCCTTTCTCAAATGGGAAACATGAGGCTATCAGATGAAGGCGATGAACGCTACGGCTGGGAAAAAAGATTTTTTTTGCAACCGGTCATTTCATGGGATAGCGGGAACGATCAAAAACTTACTCTGTGCTGAGTTGAGCTACAGAACAAGATAAAAAATGTGGACAGTAGTATTTAAGAGTGTTTGCCAAATTCGAGCCGAACACCCAAATATTTTGGTAATCAAGAAGCGATTACATCATTTGCATTATGCTGCGTGACTAGGGGCTTACATACTGAGTATGAAGGAGAGCAAGTGTAGTGTAGAAGAGTGTAGAATTCTCCACCACAGAGTTTCCTTTTTTGTGAAAATTCGCTTTTGGCCCGTACAGCATTCTTACCTCTACAGTCTAAAGCAAGATGCGTGATCAATTGGAATTATTCCCGGCAAATTTATTGCACGTTTACCTTTTCGTATAATTTTTTGGTACAATTAGACCAGGAATTGCCTTTATATCATACTTTATTTGAGCTATGCATGAGGTCTACGCTCACCGTATCGCTTGTCCAACCTGTATTGCTTTCTGAAGCCAGCTTGACAGATCCTCCTGCACGGTGGAGCAGGTACATTTTCTTCGTGACATTCTCCATAATAGGTTTGGTTTTCATGATGCCCACATGGATGAAGCGGGTAGGGACGGCAGCAATCCTATCGATAGAATCACTATATGACTTCCAAAAATCACATCGAAAAGTCGCAATTTCCGCACCTTACTCTGGTAATCTCCTCCTGAGACAACTCCTTCATTCATGAAAAACTGCCAAGCCTCAAGGGGATAGCCTCCTCCACATCTGAATCACAAACTGGTTGCATGCAAGAACAGATTACCAAACTTCATATCTTTCTCTTAGGAAATACGAAGAAAAAACTATAGGGCCGTACCCATAACCACAATTCGAGCAACATGATATAATGTCAGCCGCAGAGATCTGCACCTGAAATTCGGGCCAATTATGGGTAAGTTACAACACTGGAGATCAAGTTGACCTGCTTCTCCGCTTTGGTCGCAATGCAAATACGATCCGAAATTGCAGCTGCTGTCGAGACAGCCCAACATGAGGCTGAATAAATTGGTACAGCGTATCATTTATGCTATCACATGTTTTCTAGTCTCCACCAAAAGCTGCTCACCACAGTTTGCTTGGTCAGGGATATAAAATAACGAGCTGCAGTTGGTCCAGATAGTTCGAGGATCGTAGCTGTAATTACTTGTAACTACTAGTATTGAGGTAGGCATGATGAAGATGAGGTGTCATTGTTCTGCTCCTTGACAGTCAGCTGCATAGCTGACTTTTTTGTTCTGCCGCTGCTGAGAAGTACTCTTAAGCTTGTCTATAACAACATAACCCATCTTCTGACATTGGGATATTAGTTACAGATGCCAATTTCGGCCGCAATGTAGTGTTATGGGTTGGCATTCAATGGGAATGAGATTGGCGGTAAGCCAAATAATTTGGGTTTAATATACCCATCGATCGAGATATACAGTATGCAGGCTAAAGCGCCATGCAACATTTGAACAGGCAAGAATAACCAGAGCAAACATTTGTAAGCAGATTCGCTACGGTTGTGGTAATCCGTAGAATGTTAGGCCATGCTACGCCTATGCTTGAAACTGAGGCCGTTTTTGGATGTGTTTCAGTTTCCCATCGGGCATCTCAAGCGGGCTTTGAGCATAGTATACAGGTGATGTGGGTGATTACAAATAAAGAAGAGCACTCCCATAGCCTGACATTCGAGCTACCCACACCGAGACTTGTGGAAGTGAAGCTATTTTAAGGGATTCATATACCAGCCGCGATGGACCTTGAGTAGCTCATTTTGATTGCAATTCGATTGCGAAAGGTCGAATGTTGAACCGGGACTGACTGGCTGCTTTCATAGTCTGCCGGCGTGCTAGCCGAGGTAGTGCTAGGGGGGAGGAGAGAGGCAGACGGTCTTTCAAGCCCCTTCGAAGGGCTGAAAACAAAGAAAAACAAGATTGAAAACCAAATAACCAGGGGCTTATGCAAATGGTTCTTGATCATGTTTTCCTTGTTTTCAGTCCTTCGAAGGGGCTCCGAAGTCTTCCGAAGGGGTCGGTCGACGCGACCGCGTCGACCGACCATCTGCCTCCCTCCTCCATCCCCCTCAAATTCAAGAGACAAGTGAAGTTCAAAGTTTGAAATGTTAAAAAAGGTATGTTTTGCACTGTTATATTACAGATGCGTCCTTTGTGACAGCTGGGAATTCAGTCCAAACGATCTGGTCCCTCCGTTCACTGGAATTAAATCAGAAGTAGTGTAGGAGATAAAAAGCGAGATTTGTTTGGGCAAGTAGTAAAACTACTATCGCTTTATACATCTTCACATTTCAAATAAAAAGCACCCATCATCTTTCTAAACGTTCCTTACTGTCGACTGTTGTATGGTGATTAAGTCAAATCTCAAAATGTGAAGAACTATGCATTATAAGTGAATTACTCCCCAAATATCCGGCAGAACCAATGATTTACCTTTCCGGGATGTCATCTCCAGTGTCGTTATAGTCGTCCTTGACAACTGGGTTTATACCTTGGTTTTTGAATTTTTCATTCATTATTTGGAATTCCAGACCGGGTGTTCTATCTGATTTGACCTGCAAATGAAAAGGACTTTTTGGTGGGCATCACCTACGTTGAACTGATAACCTCGAAAAGGGTCTGATTCTTCCTGAGGTAGTCAACGAGCGATTCACCACTTAACATTTGCGCCTTCAGTGGAATTTCTTGGGAAGCTGTAAGAAAAGGATCACCAAATAAGTTTTCACTTCAATAGGTGAGCTGAAAATATGCGACCACCATCTACATCTTCCTCGGCTGCTTGGCATAAGCACAGAACGAGTGCAAGCACTTCGCACTTCTGAAGCAAAAATTCTTGATCACTCGTTATATAAGTCCTTTCTAACGGAAGCTCTTATAAGAAAGAAGTTCAAAGAAATAACCCACCATTATTTCGAACGACGAGAGGTGTGTGGGCAACCGCCTTTGCCAACCTTATAAATAACTATGCAATTGAATCATTTCCGCTACGATAAGAAAAGTGCAAGAAGGATTTTACAGAAAAAAAAGTTGAAAAACCTTGCTAGATAGAATCTTTCGGTTCAGACATGTTCTTACCCTCTTTTTAGCAGAGATCTATTGCTCTTGCAGAAGCAGATTAGACACCTCATAACTTTGATAACCGGTCCTATCGACGTTTATAATGTATAGAACAAATTAAAATCAAAAACCGAGGTGAACATTTATTTATGTCTCATTTTTTATGGAAACGCATCCTCAATATCGTTGTTTGGTAGTAACTAGCAGATGTTCCAACGCTGTTAGAGATAGCGATTACGGTGAAAGTCAGAACTGTGATCTGCAACTGGACAAAGAGGTAGTAAATGAAGGGAGGGAGCTGTTTTTGAGCACTATTCCGTAAAACATCCGGCTAATGCAGCCAGGCTCTCAGAACAGTGGGCTTGCCTTTTGTATCTGCTGCTGGACTCTAATTCATTAAAATCGTGAAAAGTCCTGCACTCTCCTATCACAGACAAACGCTTTCGTTCGCAGAGATTGGTGATATATTTATGTGATTGTTTGCTTTAACTCTTGCCTCAACTTTAATTCCGATTTTTTCCGGAACTACTTTCCGGAGGTGTTTATGTGCACTATTATCAATGATCGAAGCGGAAATGACAAGACAGAAATCAGTGCTATTTTAGGCAGATAGGCATTTGATGCCCTGACACGGTCCCAACATTTTGCCGGATGTTATAGAAACAATCCGAAAGAAGGTTAGCCATTCCAGTAGGCTTATCCAATAGTTCTTTCAGAAAGATCGCACACGGGAAATATACACCCCATTCACCACTATTCAAAGAAGCAAAGTTCGTCTTTCATGCAAACATCTAAAACGACAGCAGTGCATTGATCGCAATGATTCATTTCATTTATGAATTGAAGTATCATGAAAAGTGCTTTGACTTGATGTTTTGTTAACTGCTGTTTCAACGCCGCAGTACGCGAAGCGAATGTCTCGCAAGGTTTGCGATTTGTGGGCAAAACTCCAGTCTCGGACGGGACTTCAACCCGTACTTGTCCTTTCCGGCAACCGTGCTCTTATCCCTGAAATAGTCTATAGAATCTTGAATGCTATCGTTTCTTATCATGAAACGATAGCATTCAAGATTCTATAGACTTCTTTTCTGTGGAGGAAGGACGTTCTCAACGTCTTTTTTCGCAATGAGAAATTCAATAACGCTTCCGGCTGATAATTTCTTCTACGTTCCATGAAATAAAATTCAGTAAAGAACCCACGTAGGGAGGGATAGCGGAGTGGTTCAAAGTATAAGCTCGTCTTTGCACTGTCATCAGAAGGGTCACTAGACCCGAAAACCGTGACTTGCAAAAATTGCAAAAAAAGTCGCACAAATCGCTAGGCCGCTCGGAACCAATCATGTATCCTCTTCTTCTTCTTCTTCTTCTCCCTAGCGTTTGTCCCCCACCGTCGCAGGGTCCGCTGTTCTTATCAGTCGTCTCCATTTCATTCTATTTACGGCATCTTCTGCCGTCACCTTGGCTTCGGCGAGGTCCTTCTTGATCACGTCCCGCCATCTCTTCTTTGGGGCTCCCCGTGGTCGCTTGCCTTGCGCCTCGAACTCCAATGCCATCCTTATCGGGTGGCTCTGTGGTCTTCTTAGGACATGTCCGAACCATCGTAATCGCTGCTCCCTCATCTTTGGTTGAACTGGAGCTGTTTGCATGACCGTCCTGACGTCCTCATTCCTGATCCGATCCAGTCGCGTCCAGCCGCAGGCCCATCTCAGCATTCTCATTTCAGCGGAGTTGAGCTGTCTTTCATGGGCTTTACTTACGGGCCAGAACTCGCTGCTGTAGAGCATCGTAGGCCTTACCACTGCCCGACACACCTTTCCTTTGAGAGTCCTGGAGCACCTACGGTCGCAGAGGATACCAGTGGACTACCTCCACTTCATCCACGCAGCGTTTATTCGGAATTTCACGGCCTGGTCCAGGCTACCATCAGCGGCTAGATCGCTCCCCAGGTATCGGAAGTCCTGGACCTTTTCGATGGCTTCCCAGTAACCGTCGGTGATTGACTCCATGCCCTCCTCGGAGCTGAGGAACTTGGTCTTCTTCACGTTCAGCCGGAGTCCATTTTCCGCCAGCACTTTTGCCATTTCTGGAGATTGTCCTAGAGTTCTTCCTTGCTCTCCGCTATCAGAGCGATGTCATCAGCGTAGAGGATGGTCTTCAGTGGTCCATCCACGAGTTCTTCTGTGATGACGTCCATCGTGAGCAGGAAGAGGAACGGGCTCAGAGCTGATCCCTGGTGTACCCCAACAGTGACATTTATTGCTCCCGTTTGGCCGTACGCAGTGCGTATTGTTGTAGTGGAGCCATCGTACATATCCTTGACCAAGGAGATGAGGTGTTCTGGCACGTTTCGTTTTCCGAGCGCACTCCATAGGACTTCTCGCGGAAACCGGTCGAATGCCTTCTCCAGATGGAGGAAGGCTAGGTAGCAGGGCCTACGTTTTTCTCGATACTTCTCCATAATTTGCCTAGCTATGAAGATGGCATCCGTTGTAGACCTCTCAGGCATAAAGCCGAACTGCTCCTCTGAAACTGGGACCAATTCTCTCAATCTTGAGTCGA